ACGCGGGAGGTGAGGAAACATGCATGGCCTCATTACATTTCCACAGGAAGAAACGGCGTTCTCCGTCAGGTATTGCACTTCTTTTTCATTTATGGCAACTTTGTCTAGTTTAATTCCGGTTGTTTTTTTCCCGCATGTGCAGTTAGCACACACCCTGTTGACGACCTTCTTGTTGTCCTCCGCATTTTCGTACGCCTCTCCGTCACTTGAATTTGTGTCATCATCGTCTTCGTTTGATAAAAAATCGGGGTTCTCTGCTGTCACCTGAGGAATGGGTAAAGGAATCCCCATTGGGGGGTAAGCGTCATTTATGCGTGGCCACATGGCGCAAATGTGAATTTAGATGCGTATGCTTAGGTACTTGCTTCGCTATCTGCAGGTATGCTCCCCACTCATTGGTAGAACACTCACATTTATGATGATCCCGTTTTCCGCCATGCTGGTTTGGTTGGAAATGTTGACAAAGCCGCTGTAGAGACACTCCTTCCTTAATCGCTTCGCAATTTCATCATGCCTTTTTCTGTCCCCACCTGCTGCGTTGCTTATGTAAAGAACCAGTTTGAGCGCCCCGCTCTTGTTCAGGCACCTCTGGACTTTGTGCAAAATATTATCGTCTAAATCCCACAGGAAGTCATACTCTCTGTACGTGTACAGGAATACGTTGTTGTAGGTTTTGTAAAGTTTGTTCCTTTTAAAGCTTGACACGCTTACAGTTGGGACAAGCATTTGGGCATATTTCTTCCTCAGCATCTCACAGGGCGCATCGTCATTTAGGATGACCAGCGTATCTGCGAAGTTCATCATTTTGGTGGCAATCCTTTCGCTCTGCTTTGCTTTCGCCTGTGTTTCGTTTTCTTCCTCTGCCTCGTCTCCTTCTAATATTGTTTTTTTTTCCTTTTTTATCTTTTTTTTTTCGCCTTATTTTTTGTGTAAACCCGCACGTTCGCATACGCGGAGATAGTGTTACGCTCAAGGGGTGGGGTCCCCTCACATACCATTTGGTTATTTATGTTGGACGATTCGTCCCCAGCGAAAGGGTCACTTTGTTTTTTGAGAAAGGGGGAAGTAGTACACGCGCCATGTGCTTTAATAAATGTTTCCGCGCGGCGCTATTTTGGCTTCGCCTTAATTTGCCTTTTTATAATTTGCCTGTTTAATTTGCCTATTTTATTTGCCTGTTTAATTTGCCTATTTTATTTGCCTGTTTAATTTGCCTATTTTATTTGCCTGTTTAATTT